TCTTCAGGTACCCTCTACCAGGTCTTCTCTGACGATTCTCTAAAGAAGCCACTTTCCTGCAATGTCACATGGCTGTCCTCAAATTCCTCGTGTTCTTCTTCATCTGGGTGTGTCCAGTGATTAATTGTTTGCGTGTTTATTGGTGCTCTCTCCCACTGTAACGTATGTGCCATGAGGACAGGGACCCCTGCAGGGAAGGATAATGCTTAGCACTTATATGTAGGTAGCACTAATAGCTTTTTTATTATACTGTTATTGCTGTAATTATTATATTCACACCAAATTTCATAGCCAATGGTTATGTGATTCCCTTGGTGTATTTATGTGTAGAGTTTGGTCCATTCGCAAATCACACTATAACTTTTGCATTCTGGCCCAGCATTTTTTAGAGGTTATTTTCTACCTTCACAGTAAATAAAAGCCAAACAAACTAAAGCCAGAAATGCTTATACCTATTGGAGTCTTACGGTCATACGACAGCCCTATAAACTAGCAAGATGAACACAGTGTAGAGGCTTATAGCCCCAGGACAGAGGCCTGCATCTGGAGCCAGGAGAAAGAGCACTTATGTTGTAAGTGATGGATGGCGGCCCTCAGGGTGGATGATAAAAGCTAAATCCACAAGAGTGTCCAGTCCTAGGGAAGCCCAGCATGTTCATAAATTTTACCTGCAGGATCTTGTCAAAGTCTCACTATGAAAATCTCAGGAAAATGGCCTTGGGTTTCTTCAGGAGTAGATGAAGTCAGCCATTTTAAAATCCAGTCAGGGTTCTCCATTCCCCTTAATAAGTCCTGTCCCCTAAAGAAACGGTTTTACAGGAGCCTAACCAACAAGAGTTTTACCAAAGCCTAACCAACCTGGACAAAGAAAAATATCCGCCTGGCATGGTGGCCCATACCTTTAATCCTAGCATTCAGGAGACAGAGGCAAGTGGATCTATAAGTTTGAGGCCAGCCCGGTCTACAGAGTGAGGTTCAGGACAGCCAGGGCTACACAGAGAAACCTCGTCAAGGAGGAGGAGAAGGAAGAGGGAGGGAGGGAAGGAGGGAAGGAAGGAAGAAAAGAAAAAAGAAACCCAACTGAGGCACACAATACAACAGAGACCTAATCATAGGCTGCCTTCTGTCTGTCTGTCAGCATTCCATGACTGTGACAAGATATCTGAGATAATCAGATTAATAAGAGAAAAGTCTCAGAGATGCAATCCATAATCAGTTGACTCCATTGCTGTGGGCCTGCGGCATCATGGTGATGGAGGCTGGTCACCTCACTGCAGCCAGGAAGCACAGTAGAGAGAAGAGGTACCAGGGTCTTTATACACCCACCCTTAAGCACCTCTTCTGTGACCTAACCTCCTTCACTGGGCCCTACCTCCTAAAGGTTCTGCCACTTCCCAAGAGAGCCATAGGCTGGAGACGGGGGCCTCTGGGGGACAATCCTGATCCAAATGATAACTTCTCACTAACGAATGTGCCCTCTCCACCCCAGTGACTAGCAGTTCAGCAGGATTCCTACACTGGCGAGGGGACTGTGCACAGAAGAAACTACGTCTACACCATATTTAAGAAGTCACTAAGAGAACAGAATCAAGGACAACCAAGGACATTTTAGCCAATTGACATAACAGCTTACACCAAATAGTAAATGCAGCCCAAGCCAATGAGTATAAAACTTAACCCCAAACCCTGTCCAACTCGGGGCCTTTTTTTCTGTATACAATGCCCAGCTTTTAAAAAAAAATACAGTGCATTATAAAAGGAAAAGAAAGAGCCCAAGAAGACAAAGCCAGCATCAGAACCTTCCAGAAACGCTGGAAGGACCAGACTGGGAATTTGAAACAAGTATGATTAATATGTAACAGCTGCAAGAAAAAAAAAATGGACAGCACGTAGGAACAGATGGGCACCTAAGCAGAGAGGGGGGAGCTTACAGATGACAGGGAAGGACCAGGAGTCACGAGCGCTGTGGCAAAGGAAAAGCCTCGGGGGGGGGGGGGGTTAATCAGCCCAGCAGAGCAGCCTGACTGGCTGAGGGCATCCCTGAGCTCAGAACTAAAGAAAGAGAAACGATGGCCCAGAGTCTAGGCTGCGGGACGTTCACAAAGGGCAGAGCCTGTCTAGTGGGAACGCCGAAAGGAGAAGAAGACAGGAATTCATGAGACACTGGAACTAGAAACAGATCCTTCAAAACTGAGCTCGGGCACCAGGATGCCTGTACAGAACACTCAGGGAACGCAGGACAGGATACAAAGACCCCACACTCAGGAGCATCCAAACTGCAGGAAACCGAAGAGAAGAGGAAAACCTTGAAGAGACGGTGACGGGAACACTTGGCCTGTTTCACGGGAGGGATGGAAAACTGCACCAGATTTCAACACCAGTGACAAAGAGTGAAATAGCAAAGGTGCTGACAGGAAAATGGAAACCACCAACCCAGGACTCCATACTCAGCGGGCTGCTCTTCAAAAGGAAGATAGACTTCTCACAAAAATGAAAGAATTCGTTGCCTGCCTTATAAGACATGGTGAAAGATTTCAAACGGAAGGAAAATCAGAAAAACCAGATGTGAGAGAGAATACGTGGAAGTAAATAGAGACTCCTATTTTTATTTTATTTATTTATTTTTTTTTTTTTTTGGTTTTTTGAGACAGGGTTTCTCTGTGTAGCTTTGCACCTTTCCTGGGACTCACTTGGTAGCCCAGGCTGGCCTCGAACTCACAGAGATCTGCCTGGCTCTGCCTCCCAAGTGCTGGGATTAAAGGGGTGCACCACCACCACCCAGCCAGAGACTCCTATTTCTTATTTTTTTTTAATTTATTTATTATGTATATAGTGTTCTCTCTGCATTTGCCTGCAGGTCAGAAGAGGGCATCAGATCTCACTACAGATGGTTGTGAGCCACCATGTGGTTGCTGGGAATTGAACTCAGGAACTCTGGAAGAGCAGCCAGTGCTCTTAACCACTGAGCCATCTCTCCAGCCCCTATTTTTTTTATTCTTAACAGACCTAACACTTAAAGCAACAATGCAGATGGTGATTATAGGTTATGAAGAAGTTGACGGAATGGCATCAATGTCATAAAGAACAGGAGGGAGACACTGGGATATTATGTTATAATTTGCACTATTGACCTGGCCAGGGTTTGTGGTGCAGTCTGTAAAGAGTTTCCCATGCATGCATGAAGAGCTGAGTTCAGATCCCTAGCACCCACATAAAAGCTGTGCACATGGCGTGAACCTGTAACCCGAGTGCTGGGGAGCTAGACAGGAGGATCCCTTGGGTGTGATGCCGACTGTTCTAGCCAAATCCATGAGTCAGGTTTAGTGAAAACTAAGATGGCAGGCAGTTGAGGAAGACACCCAACGTTTTGCCCTGTGACAGCCACCCACATGTGAGCGCACACTTGAAGTAGTTATAAAGACATTGCAAATTCGGAGGAAAGCACTAATTTTTTTTTTTAAAGAAGTACAGTCAAGGGTCAGTGAGATAACTCAATGGGTAAAGGCATTTGATGACCTGAGCTTGATCCCTGGGACCCACATGAAAGGAGGAGAGAACAGACCTCCATAAGCTGTCCTCTGACTCCACATACGCATGTAGACATGCACACGTGCACACACACAATAGATGAATGATATTCATCTATTGAATATTTGAATATTTGAAAGAGTCCAGGAGGGGACCAAGGGGAAAGAAACCACTGACCGCACTAGCCAGTGTTTGGGGGCGCTCCGTACACTGTCAGACCATACCACTCTCTTTTACTCTCCTAGACTGTGTTCCCACTGGAGCACCATATGTTGTCATGGAAGCAGCCCTACGCCAACCACATAAACAACTTTCACCTAGGTCTAAGTGACATTGTTATGGGACCCCAGAATCTTTTTTTTTTTAATTTTATTTTTATTTATGTGTGTGTGTGTGTGTGTGTGTGTGTGTGTGTGTGTGTGTGTGTGTGATATCTGTGTGTGAGATGTAAACAGGAGTGCAGTGTCGGATTCCCTGGAGCCGGAGTTACAGGCAATTGTGAGCCGCCGGATGTAGGTGCTAGGAACCAAACCCCAATCCTCCGTCAGAGCGATACATGCTCTCACCAGCTGAGCCATCTCTCCAGCCCCCCTGTCTTAAAGCCCTGAAAATTTTCACTGGGAGGTTATAATTCTACTGTCTAGCTAGATGGAAGAGCCCTGTGAAGGCAGGATTGTGACTACTGGTCACTGTAATGACCACAGTGAATGACTGATATATGGTAGATATTTAATAATTATGGTAAGTGAATTTAAAAAAAAAGAGTTCACTCTAATGTGGACCTTGAAAAAGCATGCATATTTCAAATTTGATCTCTAAAGGTACTTTCAAAAGCACTCACTTTCGCCTATTTAACAATCATTATTTCTGTGTGATAGAACATAGAAAGAAGTGATAGCCCACTGACTCTCATAAAGATAAATGAAGAACCAGCCAGGCGGTGGTGGCGCACGCCTTTAATCCCAGCACTTGGGAGGCAGAGCCAGGTAGATCTGAGTTTCAGGCCACCCTGTTCTACAAAGCGAGTTCCAGGACAGGCTCCAAAGCTACACAGAGAAACCCTGCCTCGAGCCCCCCCCCCCAAAAAAAAAGATTAATGAAGAACCACATTTTTTAAAAAAATGTAGTCTAGACTGGCCTTGAACTCGAAATCCTCCTGCCTCAGCTTCCCAAGTGCGAGGCTGACAGATGTGGGCTACCACACTGGGCTGGTTCACAGTTGTCACTCATTACTTCACCCACCCCATCCAGTGACTCTGTGAGGGTGATGAGATTATGTCCCCTTTGTAGGCAAAGAACTGAGGATTTCCATACAGGCCCACAGCCAGCAAATGGAGAGCCAAGGGTTTGTTCGAAGGCCTGGGTCCTTCCTCTGCCATGCACACATTCTCTGTTCTGTGATATTTTGTTCTGGAAACACATGTTTTCAAATGTTGAGTTATAAACAAACAAAAATTTCACTGAGTTTAGGCTTTCAACTACAAGTTATTTATCTTGGAAAAACATTCCAATAATCGGAGTGTTTTATTACTACACGACTGTGTAACTGGAAGCTAAATACAATAAACTGCTTGAAGAAAATAAATAAACATCCTAAGTCCTGAGTGGTGCCTCAGATCTCAGTCAATGAGTTTCTAATCTATGACAGAAACAAAGCACAGCACAGCAGTAAGATGATGGCTGAACCTGAAGGAAAAGGCACAGAGTTCACGCTGCAAACGAAATGGAGCCCAGAGGCCACTGGCTGCTTCTCCGTGCTCAGCGGTATATTCCCGGGACCCTGGTGGGAAGTCCTGGCTGTGCTTGAATTAGGAGTCTGTGCCCCTCCTGCTGACTGCATTTCCCAGACTGAGCCGTTGTGTGCCACCCTGTTCGCTTTATGAACAACCCAACTGTAGAGAGGCCGAAAGTGGGGGAGTAAATTCTCAGCCATGAGGACAGCTAGAGAACCATTTGGGTCAGATTTTTGGAGGGATAGGAGACCCATTTCAGGTGTGTGTGTCTGAGGCCACGAGGAGGCTCCTAGGTTGCTTGTTTCCCTGGATTTTAAACCACCGTTCCTTCTGGATGGGTGAAAATAAACCAGGCCTAGAGTGGTCTGTAGGTAAACATGGGTAGAAACTCGGAAAACAGTTGTTCCGACCCCAGCAGCCTGGATCAGATGAGGAATTGGGGAAACAAAAATCTATGGTCAAACCAAAATTCCAGCAGCTCAGAAAGTGTCCAAGGTGGGGGAGGGTCTAGGGCCGGAATGCCCTGAAGGACACAGCCCAGTTCCAGCGCAAGGTGAACGGTGTCTTAAGTTTCCATAGCACTCAGTAACCCTCAGTGATTACGTAACAACCCTGGCAATGAAGGCGCTCTTATTTTTGCAGAGGAACAAACTAGAGAGGATGTGTGATTCACAGCTAGCATCTGTCAGAGTTAAGTCCCTGAATCCTGGGCTCCAGATCCAACAGACCTCCCACCATGATTTGGCAGGGCGATTGAAGGACTAGGTTTTCCAAGTGTGATAGCTTCGGAGTAAGAAGATCTTCATTTGCTGGGCCTGGATGTCACACACTTCACCTCCATACATCGAGTAGGTTCTTTAACTTTAGTAGGTATCATTTAGGGCAGCAGTTCTCAACCTGCGGGTCGCAAGCCTGTTGGCAAACCTCTCTCTCCAAAAATGTTTACATTATGATTCATAACAGGAGCAAAATGACAGTTATGAAGTAGCAATACAAATGATTTTATGGTTGGGGGTCACCACAACACGAGGAACTGTGTTAGGGGGTCACAGCATTAGGAAGGTTGAGGACCACTGCTTTGGGGTACAGGGATATGACATAGTTTGTAGACTACCTGCCTAGCACGCACGAGTTCACCTCAGCACCACACACGCTGCCTGTGGCGGTGCGTGCCTCTAATCCCAGCACTTGGGAGGCACAGGCAGGAGGATCAGGAGTTCAAAGCCATCCCCAACTTCATAATCAATGTGAGGCTAGCCTGGGCTACTTGAAACCCATGAGTTTCCTTGTCTATAAAATGGGGTCCCCATAACAACTAGCTCATGGGGTACTGTGAAGCTCAAATGTAAAACACACACAGGACTAATGCTAAGGCATCAAGGTTATCTTCACAGCATGGATTCTGGATGGAGAAGTCTCCTTCCCTCCTTGGCAGCATGACCTGAAGCACAAAATCCCCTAGACACATTTATTATATCTAAAGCTCCAGGACGTTAAAAAACTGAAAACCATAGCAGCCTGAGAGTGTTTGAGGTCGGGCATTGGGCCGAGGCGAGGGAAGAGAAGGATAAGCCCATCTTTTCTGTCCTATCACATTGCTAGCTGGTGCCCAGGAGACCTCCATCCCCAGCTGGAAAGCCTTGGAGTTAGCAGCAGCTAACTCCAGAAATATCCCGAGAGGCAGCTGGCCTTGTAGGACCTGTGGCTCCACAGGCGATGGGCACCAGCCGTCACACCCAGAGCAGTCAGGAGGAAGCAGAAGTAGGCTGTAAGACACAAGCAGGGGCAGAGGTCAACCACTGCCACCCAACGTTTTTAGCTACCCCTTGTTTTTCCCTCCTGAGTGAGGACTTATGGGAAATGGCGTCCATCTGGGGAAGATGCTGTAACGGGAAGAATCAGTAACTTGAGAAGACACAGTCTTTTATTGATCTGTAGCTTTCCAGACTGGGAAAAAGCAGAAAGAACTTTCTGGAAACCTTGGTCTAATTTCCAGAGGCTCCCCAACAGCAAACAAGCCTTTTATTTGCCGATCTTTCTTCCGGTCTTCATGCAAAGGCTCAAACGCTTGAGTGCACATTCGCATTCTGGTTTGCCTGTGCGCCCTGGAAGTGGGAGTACTGTCCGTCTCTGTCAGCTCTGGAAGTGTTCTAGGAGGAGCACGTCTGTAAGCAGTGCCCCATATCATAGTCCCAGGAGCCTTGGTTTGAAGGAAATTAGAGAAGACTTAACAGCAGTGAGATGACTCCGGCCCGTCTGAATGAAGAGCAACCTGACCATAGGGTTAGTGAGATTTGTCTCCTAGAGACAGGAGATGGCCGGGTGGGGGATGTTCTCACAGCCAACCTAGAGTGGGGCCTTAAAGACCTTCCCACCTCCAATGCTCTCACGGGTGTTACCTTCTTTGGTTTATACTCGAGAGTCGGCATATTGACTGGTAAATCCTACAGGTAAGCCCAACTGATACTTGTTTCCATGCCTCTGCCAAGAGTCCCCTCAGCACTGTTGCTGCTGTTGCTACAGGTGGTGGTGATGGTGATGATGGTTACTGTGTTGGTGATGGTGATGATGGTAGAGGTGGTGGTGAGGATGGTGATGGTTATTGTGGTGATGATGGTGATGACAGAGGTGGTGGTGATGATGGTGATGGTTATTGTGGTGATGGTGATGATGGTAGGGGTGGTGACGATGGAGACAATGGTTATTGTGATGATGGTGATGGTTATTGTGGTGATGATGGTGATGATGGTAGGGGTGGTGGTGATGATGGTGATGGCTATTGTGGTGGTGATGATGATGGTTATTGTGGTGATGATGATGGTTATTGTGGTGGTGATGGTGATCATAGTAGAGGTGGTGGTGGTGATGGTGATGGTTATTGTGGTAATGATGGTGATGGTTATTGTGGTGGTGATGGTGACGATGGTAGGGGTGGTGGTGATGATGGTGATGGTTATTGTGGTGGTGATGGTGATGGTTATTGTGGTGGTGATGGTGATGGTTATTGTGGTGGTGTTTTGCTCTTGTTTGGAGGACTATGCTACCAGTAGATGTAGAAAATAGATACACAGGGACCCAACAATGATGATCCCTGAAATTATTACCACTAGCTCCAATGGTGTTAAAACAATGTGCCCATTTGGTATCAAGTATTTTCACCTGGGTTATCTTGGTCATATTAAGCAAGTCTATGTGGTTTGTTCTATTACTAGTGCCATTTTATAGATGAGAAAACAGAGACTCGCAGGTGTGAGCTTGGTTCCCACGGTCCTGAGGCTGGAGTATCTTTGCTAACAGTCAGATCCAAGTCTTTCTGAGTCAAGAATCAAGTTCCTGACCACGACACAACTGATCGCTTCCGGGAAATATCCCGTAATTTTACCTTTACTCCTTTATGCCCTGCAGTTATAAAGTGAGGAAGCGACTCACTTTTCCATCTAGGAAAAAGAAAGCCCTAAGCCAGGCTGTCGGGAGGTAGTCCATGCACTTAGTCCCACAGGGCCACCCGGAAAGAGCTACAGAGTAAGAACACTGGGCTGTGAGTCACTCCTCACAGTGGCTGGGAATGCTCCCCAGGCAGAATGGGCATGGAAGTCTGTGTAACTCTTCTGCGTGAGAATTACGGTAACTTCAATGTCAATGTACGTATTTAATAGGAACACAATGTTACATCTTACAAAACTTAAGTACCTGACTGATCTTTATCTAAATCTACATTTATACAGTTCAGAAAGCAAGACTTATCCTCAGCCCCGAGATGGATGAGTTCCTGGACACATGTGGCTTTCGTGAACTTGACAACTCATTCCTTACTTGAGAGGTTACAAGCAGAAGACAAACACCAATCTGCCAGGAGTCACAGACAAGGCAGGACATAAAAAGCTTTGCTCTCCTTTGCTATCATAATTTAACCTTGGCCATGAGCCCGTGGAATGGAAAGTTGTTTTCCATGTCATCTTTGGCCTTTGTAACTCTACTATTAATTTTTCAACTGCCAAGTAGTTAGGAGACAAGCTCTAGAATGGAAAAATTAGATGTGACTCTACTTGCCAGCAAGCTAAGATTCTAGACCTGGGGTACAATACCATTAACTCCAAGATTCTGTGAAAGACATTGCAGGGGAAATATCACTCAATGCATGTTTCTAAACGTGACCCATACTGAAGGCTATGGCACCGTCTTGTCCTGTGAGAAGTCTCCAAAAATGTGAGGGATGTTTGCACAGCTTGTCTGTCCAAGTGCAAAGTACTGACATGGTTCAAGTCAGCACCTTCCTGGGAGGCCTTGGCTGTGGGTTCCCAGGGACTTTCGTGCAACCCATGTTCGGCTAAGCACAAAGCCCCCATCCTCTTGACCATGAGAATAAACAACTGGCCCAATTCTGTCTTTTTTCTACGTCAAAGCCCAATTAGGGCTTGCATCAAGTGTCACATGTCACCAAGCTAAGAGAGAATGAAGAGGAGACACAAAGGTGGTGGGATGCCCACAGGAGCCAGAGGAACTACTTACCTTGAGCTCTGGGTTGCAGGACTAGAAGCCTGATGGGTCACTCCATCCTGGGAGTCTGCGCAACGTTTCTCTGAACTGCCACGGTCAATATGCTCCCTGTTTATGCTTAGAGTGGTATGGATTTCTGATGCCTAAAATCTATAGAACATCTTGAGAGAGAAACAACTATTTGGTCATGATCCAAAGACGACAAGTGTTTACCACCTACTCATGACCTTATGTCCCCTTTAGTAATTTATTATTTATTGACCAGGATAGTAATGGAAACAAATGTCAGTTCTGTGGTTACATGACAAAAGATTTGTAAGCATATTTCTTTCATGAGTCAGTTATGATGAAATAAGCTGCCACGTTAGAGAGGCCTATATAGCAAGGAACAGAGGGCTCCTCCAGCCAATAGAGGAGTGTGATCCCCAGCCTCACAGATCATAGCTGCTGGATCCTGCTACAGACATGTGAATGGCCACGGAAGCAGACCCTTCCCTGGGCAAGCCTGTAGACAATACCACAGTCCAGATCCACACAGCCTCATACAGGGTCCTGAGGCAGAGCCCTGGCTAAGCTGTTCCTGGATCCCTGCCCCACAGCCCCGAGAAAAAGTGCTTTTTAAATCAATACGTTTGGGGATGGTACGCTATGCAGCAGTGGATGACGAACACAGGTTATTATGCAGGCACTCTGCTTTGGGAAAGGCAGATTCAGTTCTGATTACAGAAGAGTTTCCCATCCGAGGGTTAATGAGGAGAACAGTGTTGCATGAGGCCAGGCCTGGAGGTGGGGGGAGGGGACTAGGAAGTAACCTGCTCAGGATCTTGGGAGGTCAGAGGTGACCAGGCTGCTTTCTAACTGACTTTAGAGATGGCAGTAGTATTTTGTGGATGTACTATAAAGTGATATTCATCAAATAAGTGAACATGGGAATCATAATTCAGCAGGTGAGGCAAGGCCGCAGCCTCAGAGCCCGTGTATGGAGGGTGGGCTGGATGTCAAGAGTCACAGAAGAGCCTCTGGGGACTGTCACTTTACCAGCCACAGCTTCACTGTTGGGAGGCAGATACCACAATCCCCATTTTACAGATGTGCAACACTGAGGCCCAGAGATACTAGATAAATAACTGGGAATCTCTAAGTGGTAGAACTGGGGGGCAGGGGTTCAAATACCCAGGCCCAAGCCCTTTCAGACCAGCAGAAAAGTTCTAGATCCTGGCTGTACACCACAGTCCCCTGGGATCTGAAACGGGACTTGTGCAGGTGTTGGGAAAGCCTTGCCCGGATGTGGCATTTTCAGAAGAGCACACGCCCCAGGTGCTCAGTCAAAGTCAGTATTCAGTGTTCAAACAGGGAGGCTGAGCTCGGCTGCTGCTCTGGCAACCAGGACAGATGCTTCCATGGGGAGATGCTAAGTGGCGGATGGATGTGAACTCCATCCAGGTCCTGTTTGCATTCTCTTGGCTCCCCACCCAGCTGCCTTTGATGGTGTGAGCCGCCCACAGGCACCTCGCAGCAGAGCCTTTGATATCCAGGCATGTGCAGCGGCAGGGAGCTGTCTTACACCCCAGGACTTGGGGAGAACTAAGGGAAACAAACGGGCAGGACTCTTGGGGACAAGGCAATGCCTGTGGGGGCCTCGGAGGAGACGGCCCTCTTAGGTATTTGTTTCTCCAGCCAACTAACTCAGGTGTTTGCAAAATCAGTTCTGGGCACCGGCCAATTATTGGCTGCTTCTCCAGTCATCTCTGGATCCTACAGAGAGACAGGGGAAGGCTTCCAGGCCCATAGATGGAGACACAGATAGAGAAAACACAAGGCAGAACCAGGGAGGTAACTCAGCTGGTACAATGCCTGCCACACAAGTATGAAGGTCTGACCTCGATCCTCAATGCAAATGCCAGCACAATCCCTGGAGCTCTCTGGCCAGCCATTTGAGCTGAATCCGGGACTCCAGGCCAGTCACAGACCTTAGCTGAAGGACAGAGATTGAGGAAGACACTAGACATTGACCTCTAGCCTCCACACAAATGCGCATGTATACATGCACATGCACACACATACATGTGCATACTCACATGCACATCCACACACACGTGCACACCCACTCATGAAGAGCATATAGTGTCCTCTGTCCTCTGCTCCATGGCACAGTGGTGGAGATGGACTCAGGACTGAGCATCCCTGTTAAACAACCTACCTGACGGTTCTCTAGAGCTTGGTTTCTCCGTTCATAAAAGAGAGGAATCATGCTGTTCCCTGGGTTTGCTGTAAAGATGAAAAGATAAAATAGACACAAAATTCGAGCGTGCGCACCGCCCCCCCAACACAAGCGGGAAGGCACCCCTGGAATGAAGCTACCCCCTGCCCTCTCAGGGAAGGCCACAACCCTCACTTTAAGCCCCTGGCTCTCAGGTGGAGGCCAAGCTTCCCTCCCTGCCATGCGGTGACTCTGCACTTGCCAATGTCGGAACATCGCTGGTTGTCATAGTTGAAACCCGAAGGGCGATACTGGCCTCTAGTGGGTAGAGACCAGCTCTGTCACTAAGCACCCTACCAAACACAGAGGAAACACCCAGCCAGAGCCATGCTGGCTAGCAGTGCTAGGGAGAAGGGAACCCTGCTCTCATTCATTTACCAGGAAAGCTCTTCTAGAAATAATTCCCTGCTTGTTCTCCTGATGTAGCTGAGGCTTTCCTGGCTTCCTTACACTCTCCACATTCCTGAGAGCAGTGAGGGATTGTACATGATGAGTGTGTGTGTGTGTGTGTGTGTGTGTGTGCGTGTGCCATATCCCCAGCCCCAAACATTTCATTTGATGTAATTTAATAAACAAAGTGAAAACATACGATATGAGTAAAAGAGCAATAGTATTTAGGGTCACAACACTCACACCATATATTCCGTCATGGTAAATGCAGATGTTGGCCCCACCAGGTCTGAGGTGGAGGCACTAACTTCTGGCATTGCTTGTTCGCTATGATGGTTGATCTTGGTTGTCATCTTGACAGGATTTGGAATTACCTAGTAGATATGTCTCTGAACTAATGTTTGTGAAAGCATCTCCTGAGAGGATTAATTGAGAGAAGACCCATCCTCAGAGTGGGCAGCACCCTCCAATAGATGGCGCACATATAGAGAAGTCTGAGGATAAAGTAAGTGTCACAAACCTACCTTCACTTATGAGCAAGTGTGTCCATCACTGTGGCTCCAGACCTCTGCTGACCTCAAACCCCTGCTTCCCCGGCTTCCCAGTGAGGGCTGAGTACCAGGGCCAGACTGAGGCTGCAGAAGCATCAGCTTCGTGGCCTGAGCAGCTATGAGTTCTCAGCCCCTGTGGGCGGCAGTCAGTCATTGCTGGATTCCCCACCCCCTCTGCCAGCCCATCCAATAAATTGCCTTTTATTATATACACACGCCCTAATAACACTGCCTAACACAGTTGGTTTAGTTTGACTTAGTTGTTTTCTGTTTTACTCTGTTTTGACAGGGTCCCACTGTGTCCTGTGTGAAACTTAAGACTTCTTGACTCAGCCTCCAGAGTGCTGGGATTACAGGTGTTCGGCTGTGCTTGCGTTTGTAACAGGCCCCCAGGTAGGGCTGATACTGATGACCCAAGTCTTGGCTAGATAAGAGAGACAGCCTGTGACCCAGCCAGGGCTTTGTTTGCTTGCCCACGTCACAGAAGTGTGCTAGATCTTAAGTCAAGGCTCAAGATTCTGAGGCAATTCCCTCCTAGGCACTAGGTGAACGGTTCGCTCAACATCAGAACAGTTTCCACAAGGTCTTGGACACTGTGGGCTGAGAGGTAATGGGTTTCTTTTTATGACTAAAACTTCCTGAGTTCAGTGATGCTTGTAGTAACCAGTAGCTCCTCTCTAGCATCCACATTCTCCGATCATGCTGCACACAGCTTCTCCCGTTCCGTCACGTGAATCTTTGCCACATCTTCCAGGAACACTCAACCGCAAATCTCAGAACTTCCCCCAGGCGATCCCATCTCCACCCTGTCAGCATCTGCCCTGGGCAACCTTCCATCCCCTCATTACTGCAGGCAGACTGCCCTCCCTGCCTCTAAGACTGGATCTCATGTGCACATCTTTACACACGCTGCTCAGCAGGCTTCCCTCTCTTGTGGCCTATAATCACGCTAAAATTTCTCTGTTAAAAAGCAAATTTTTATCTGTTTATTGATTACTATTTTTACTAGGATGTATCAATTGTACAAAATAGTGGGTTCCAATGAGGAGCCATTGGCAGTTGATGCCTTCTGGGAGAGAGAGAGTTTTCTTTGGGGATGTGGCCCCTGAGAGGCTACCCATGCTTCAGTAGAAGGCCCTGTGCCTACACACGTGCAGGTAGCACCAGGTAGCCTCAGTGGTTTTTTTAAAAATCACACACATAAAGTTGGGGGGGGGGTGATGGGGAACGGGGAGGAATTGAAGGAGAGGAAATTGGAGATAAAGCTGATCAAAACATTACATGCACACATAAAAGATCCCTTGATGGGAAGAAATTTGTTAGAATTTGTCTTAAGAGTGGATGTGGTTCAGCAGACAGAGTGGGCAAAGACATTTGTGACCATGACTGACCAATTGAGTTTGTTCCCCAGGACCCAGGTGTTGGAAGAAGAGAACTTATCCCCATAGACTGTCCTCTGAACTCCACTTGTGTGCCTTGATCACAAGTGTACATTGAAGTAAGCACACATGCACGCACTCACACATGCGTGCGCGCACACACACACACACACACACACACACACACACACACACACACACACACTATTTTAAAAGACTGAGTTAAACCCGTAGTTGTCACAAGATGGTGTCAGCCCTAACTGACGGCCTGTGTGACAAGTGGAGCAAACTAAATAACGGGGAAAGAAGGGGTTAAGATTGCTTCTAAGCAACTGCCAAGGGCTGACACTGTTCGGCTGCCCATCCACCCCTGAAAATGTCAGTCAACTATTAGAAGTGTTTGCATGAAGCAGAGGGTAAGCATCCCAAACCCAAGGCTCTGAAAAACGAAATCCTTTCCACTCTGAAACATCTTGAGTGTCGTGGTGCCACAGGTAGAAAATTCCCACAGGACCACAGTGAGGGTGCAGTCAAAACATGGTACTAGAGCACAGAGAGGCTGCACGAGACCACTGCTATGGTGTGGAAGTGTGTCTCGGCAGGTTCACGTGTTGAAGGCTTTGTTCACAGACTTGTGGATCCTGTTATTTAGTGGTGTTTGGGTCCTGAGAGCTGATTCTGCACTGGACGGCGTTCGGGGGAGGCGGGGAAAGCAGGAGGTGGGATCTGGTTGGAGGAATCAAGCAGCATGAGTTCCTGCGAAGATGTATCTTATCACCTCCTCCCTTTCCGTTGCTCGGCAGCATCCCGGCTTTCATTCGGCAAGCACCTTTGTCCTGGCACATGCTCTTTGCCATGACATCGGGTCTTACCTCAGGTAGCCACGGGTTGGAATCTCAAACTGTGAGCTAAAAGGGGTCCCTCCATCATCTGTTTCTGTGGTGTGAGGCTAACACAACTGCCTGTGTGTTGTGCGCATGTATATGCAAGGTCTATGCTAACCACGATGAATTTGAGTTTAGAATTGGGCTGTGTCCCCAGGATGCTTCCTTATGCATATGTAAGTATTTCCAAGTCTAAATTCAAACTCCTAAGCATTCCTGATACGGGATTCTCAGCCTGTATGAGAAGAGCCGTCTTCAGAACAGCCAGTTCCTTAACCCCTTACAGAAGGCAAAAAGCCAGTTATTTTTGTCACTTTGCCCCTGCTGACCTGTTTAAAGCCCAATGACCCCAGAGCCTTGCCCTGTGACTAAGTGCTCAGCGGCACAGGCTAGTTCACACTAGTGTAAGCACTGTCCACCACGTGCCTTCCTGCTCCCGGTGAGGCCCATCATCCTCAAAGCCTCTGCAAATAACACAAAGCTTGTCTTTGGAAGAAAGGGCGAGGCTCACTTGTTAGGGGAATCTGCTCCCGGTGTGTACAGAACGCTGGCTCCTTTGCAGCTCTCCACAAGGAAATGAGGTGCTCACAGGTAGCTTGGAATTGAGGGCCCCCCTACACTTCCGAGCGGTGTGAGTGGTACCAACCCACTCTTTCACAGACACAGTTCTCTTCCCTGCGAAGCAAACAAAATGGAGGTGCAGGTCCCAGCGTGATGTGTGACTTTAAAATGTACACAAGATGTGAAGTGTGCAAAGCAGCCCACCGCGTGTTACACCAGCACCTTTATTCTTATTGCTAGGCAGTCACCGCAAGGCAGGGCTGAGCGGCCGGGAGGCAGCGGCACTCCACATCCCAATCTCCTTCTGGAGCCTGGCCTTTGTCCTGCTCGGGCTCCCTGATGGATTTGGAAAGAGCAAATGCAAATGCATTCTGATTCAGAACTCCCAATTCCATTAGTCTACCTCCCTCTTATATGGCCTTCGAAATTAGAAACTAGAATTCCGACTGACTGCAAAGTTCGTTCCGCTGTTCCCACACTGAGCTTGCTTCCCACTGAGTAGGTTTCACTCTTATGAGGAAAGTTGTGTGTTAGAGATGTGCATCTAGTACACGCTGCCGTGGTTACGAGCATGCTCATTAATGCCGCTGCCTGTCAATAGAAAGCTACAATATTAAAAAGAGTGGTCGTGGGCCAAGGAGATGGCTCAGGTGGTGAGGTGTGTGGTGGTGTGTGTTGTAACCCTAGCACTGGGGAGGCAGAGGCAGATTTGTCTGCACATGGGTTCTGACCACAGTCTCCTGCTCTCTGACGACCCTCATTCCCTAGTGAGATAATCTCAAAAAAAAAAAAAAAAGATAGGCAGTGCCTAAGAAGCTACAGCCAAGGTTTTCATGAGGCCTGCACATCCATGCACATATGTATGCATGCACACCCACACACATGCATATACCTTCATATATATACATGCACACAAATATGTTGATCCATCTGATGAAATTTAAAAAAAAACACAGCCAATCAAAACACAGAGTGATGGAATCCAGTCACAATGGACATATCTACCAAACGCTCCTGCACCTAAAGTTCCAGATTACTGCAGAAGAGGGACAGAGAGATTGTAAGAGCCAGAGGATCAAGTAGTTCGCTGTGAGAGTGTGTCTCCAGAAATGTCAGAAGCTACACCCATGGAGTCTCACCAGCATGACTTCCTAGATATGAGATGAACAAATACAATGCCAATGAACGCACCAAGTGGACGGGGAAAAGCCCAGGAGGCCTCGACTCTACACAAAGAACTACAGGCAACTGAGTAAATCTGGGAGCAGGAGAGGTGGCCCTTCCCAAGGAAGACCACATTCATTGGTTGTCCAGTGCCAAAGAGTCAGCCCTGAAAACATACATACAAGTAACATTATATGGACTCAACAGATTGTATTTAGGAATATACATGTGTATACATACATGCATGCGATAACAATTAATGAAAAAAGAGACCGTGAGTTTGAAGGAGAGCAGGGAGGGGTGTGTGGGTCTGGAGGAAAGAAAGGGAAGAAAGAAATGTTATAATTACAATCTCAGAAATTTTAAAAAAGTAACAAAAAAAATTTTTAAGTGGATACCTGAGGTGATCAATTTGTGGGAGGTACCTGGACAACCTAGTGAGAACTTTTCTCAAAATGAAGGAAAAAAACCAAGCAAAGGCAGCTGGAGGTCAGCTCATGTCAGGGACAGAGTACTGGCCTGGCATCTCTCTCTCTCTCTCTCTCTCTCTCTCTCTCTCTCTCTCTCTCTCTCTCTCTCTGCATCACACATTAACACTAGTGTTAATGTCCTTAGCAATCAGAACACATCTAACCTACATGGTAAAGTATGGGTTAAGCTTTGCTCTGGTATATGTACAAATGTAGTACAAACTACACAGAGGCAGGAGGATCAGGAATGCAAGGCCAGCCTGGGCTACAAGTGAATGTGAGGCCAGCCTGGGCTACAAGTGAATGTGAGGCCAGCCTGGGCTAATAAATAAGAAATAAGTACATGCACATGCATACTTCCTTTCCCTGCCCGTGAATACATAGGCCCTAAAATAAGTGGGAAAGGTAAAAAATCAGATTTAAAAAAAAAAGTACCGTAAATACATGTGGAAAAGTTTTGTTATTTTCTGGTCCTGTGTCTCTAAAATAGGGGCACAAGGCAAGTCCGGAAGAGTTTTTTGTAGCATTAGAAATGAAGGGTGCCGAGCGCCTGAAGTGGCCAGTACAGCAGACCCCCGATAAGCAGTCTTTTAGCTGCTCTGGTGCCGGCAAGTGGTGGAGGCTGCAGTTCCAGTGAGACCACAGACATTCCATTCCCTGGGTGACACTCAGGCCACAGAGCTGGAATTCTGCTCACAGAACAAACTACACACAGCAGTCCTCTCTGATCTGTGCCACACACTGCTGCCGGGTTTTGTTCGGCACGTTAGGAAAGAACTTAAGTGGTTCATGATGAAATGAGAATCAACCCAGATACAGTGTTTTCACCCTGGGAAGTTCTTGTTGGCGGTGCTGACCGAGCAATAGCTGCCTCGCTGTATTAGTCTCACTTATCATAACTAGGAATTTTTTCCTCTTGTTGTGGTGGAGCATGCCTGTAATCCCAACAGTTGGGAACAGAGGCAGGAGGATCAGGAATGCAAGGCCAGCCTGGGCTACCAGTGAATGTGAGGCCAGCCTGGGCTACCAGTGTATGTGTGGCCAGCCTGGGCTACCAGTGTATGTGTGGCCAGCCTGGGCTACCAGTGTATGTGTGGCCTACCTGGGCTCTTTGAGACTTCCACTCAAAACAAAGGAAGTGAGGGGATTTAAAAACGAAGAATAGATATCCATCCTCTCCACTGAAAGAAGATCTGATGGTTTCATTGCTATCTCAAGTTGCATAATTAGTTCCACTGGGATGATACTCAGGAGGAATTCAGGAGATGCTTTCTGGGGCTCAAATGCAACTGGAAAGGAAAAGATAAGTCAGGACATCCCCAGGGCCTGGAGGTTTAGCTCATAGTACAGTGCTCACCAGGCAAGCACAGGCCCTGAGTCTGATGCCCAACATGAAAAAATAACCCACAATAAAAATCCCTTCTGTTTCAGTGCCTGTGTCAAGAGCTTGGCAAAGCTTGTGGATTTAAACAATGGCTCCCCTGGAAATTAGAAATCACTCTTCTCATTCACATGAAGTAGAGATGATGATATACTTTGTTTAGCATAAAACTTAATTATTGTGAACTAATCTTTTTTTACATTGTGAAGATGTGTCTCTGCCTAAGGCAACTTGTGATTGCTTTAATAAAGAGCTGAATGGCCAATAGCTAGGCAGAAGGAAGTTAGGTGGAACTTCCGGGCAGAGAGAGAAAGAGGAGATGAATCTAGGTGTGGGAGAGACACCAGAGGGCACAGAGAGAAAACAGGAGTTCCAAGATGGAAGTGAGGTAAAAAGCCACGAGGTAAAATGTAGATTAATATAAATGGGTTAATTTAAGGTGTAAGAGCTAGAGGAACAAGCCTAAGCTATAGGCCAAGCTTTCATAATGAGTAAGTTCCTGTGTTTTTTGTAAGCTGGCTGTCCCAAAGAAAAATCTGTCTACACTTAACAAATGGCACTCCAACTCTAGGGCAGCTGTGGTTCAGTCAGCACTAACAACAAGAGCGGCCTAAGGTGCAGGCCCACCTGGGTTTATTTTTATTTCACTGTGAGCATGGCACCCTTCCTTCTGACTTGCAACATGGTTCAGTGGTGGGGTATGCTTTTTCTCTTCCTTCTTCCTCTCTGTTACTGTGATAGCTTAACCTCATCCTGGGATTCTGGAATCAGATCGTTATGAAAACAAAGCTTTGAAGAAGCCACTTGATTTCTCCCAAAACCTCAAGCCAGCCGCAACTCAAGTCACCACGAGACAGCGAGGACCAGCTGCTGGCCAGGTGTCCCCGGCCTGACTGTTGAGCCCTTCAAGCCTCTGAACCACGTGAGTGGGGACTGCATCCTTCCAGAACTTCTCAAACAGAAGCTCACAGAAAGCTACATTCTGTTCCTGGCTTTTTTTAGTATGAAAAAAGAACCTCTGGATTTCACAGCAATGTTCCTAAGGACTTTCCTAAAAGCCAGTCCAAGACTTGAAAGGCTGGTTATGTTTATTGTGCTTGGTAAGGACAGGGATGTTTGCTTTTCTTAAACAGAGCCTGCATTAAGAAATAACACTGTAGCTTAGAACACAGACAAATATTACTGACATCAAATACTACTGATGTCATCAAAGAATGATAATCCTTATGATATGCAGTGTACTGCCATTTTCTGCTCTATTTTTAAAATCTTAATTTATTTTTTAGATTTATGTTTGTTATATGTATACAAGTGCCTTGCCTGCGTGTATGTAAGTACACTATGTGTGTGCCTGGTATTCAAGGAAGTCAGAGGACAGCATCAGATCCCCTGGACCTGGAGCCACAGTGGGTTGTGAGCTAACATGTGGGTGCTGGGAATCAAACCCTGGTCCTATGGAAGAGCACCAAGTGCTCTTAACTGCTGAGCCATTTCTTCAGCCCCTTGTATTATTATTTTTCAAGTGTTGGTTAGGACCCCAAACCTGAAGCGTTTCACACTTTCTGAACAGTCACCGTCTCTAGGGTGACGTGCTGGCTGGAATGAACTCTTCAAGCTTTGGCATACTCCTGTAACATCCACAGCTCTCTCCATGCCGTTGACTCCCCCAGGGCTGGCACCAAACATTCTTGATGGGTCAAGAAGAAAGGATGCCTTTGTCTTTTCCTCTGGGTTTATGAAGTTCTGAGGGGTACCTGCCAATGATCCTCAAGCTCTCCCACCTCTGACAGGGCAAGGCTTCATAATAAACCCAAGATATCAAAGAGGTGTGTCATTAAAAAAACAAAGCTACTCTATCTTATATCTGGACATCCTCAGATTCATGTCCAGGTGAGAAAACATCCCCCAAGACAGGCCCATCAGACTCTGAATTTATGTATTCTCATTTTCAGGCTCACATCTGACTGCGGAACATGGGTTTCTGATGCAGCAATGATATGCACTGGGAAGGCACAGTGTTGCGAACTGAGGAGTGGAGGATCCCGTCTGCACTGTCTCTAATAGTCTGAGGAATGCTGTCCTCAGAGAACACAGTAAGAATAGTGTCCTCAGAGTCATGTGCCCTGGCCTATCGGGCACTGAGTCAAATCCGCAGTCAAATCCGCAGCATTTCAGAGATGCTCATCCGTGCCCTGTTTGAGTGCACAGGCCCTCCTTGCAGTTACGTCTCCGTGAGGGGGAGACACGCAGTCATGCCCAGTCTCTGTGAACACAGACAGCCACTGCCCCATGCTTTAGGGAAGCATGCTCTTTTGAGAAGCAGTGCTCTTCCCTATGTCCCTGTAGACACCTCCACTGACAGCCAATCAAATCTGTTCTCCCTTTATAGCTAAATCCCTGACCAACTGGATCGTCCCTGGTTCTAGGTAAGCTTAGCTTTTTCTCAGCCTCCCTTTTCTGGTCAGCAGCAATGACCAAGACCATCGTCTCCTCCCCTTCTTCCTCTTACCCTAGTCTATATGAGGGCATGACAGCTGGCTTGTGTGTGTGCAGGTCTTATGCTTGCCTTCTTGGCCTTTGTTTTCAGTCAGTGAGGGTATTTTAGTTATCACAGGTCTTCCCTGATGATATTGCACACCCCCTGGGTTACCAGTGAAGGATCTCCTCTCGGGGTAGCTAGGCACCCGTCCAACCAGCTGATCTCAACCTAAACAGCACATTAGAATCCTTTTGACATCTTCAGCCCAGGCTCCAGCAGACCAGTTAAATCAGGATCTCTGACCTATCAGAAGATTTAACAGGCAGAAGTAATTTTTATTGTGCATGGATTTTCGTGTGTGTATTTCTGTGTGTGTGTACATACATGGGTGCACTCGAGTATGTAAGAAACACTGGTGTGTGTGTTGGGGGGTGGGGCTGGCATGGACCAGACAATGTCAGGCATCCTCCCCAGGAGCACCATCTCATTGGTCTCTCATTGGCCTGGAACTCACCACTTAGACTAGGTTAACTCGCCGGTGAGGTAGCCCCAGGATCCCCTGATGACTCCTCCCCAGTTGGGATAGTAAGCAAGCATCACCACACCTAGCATTTTTACGTGAATCCTAGGGACTGCACAGGTCCGCATGCTAGCAGGCAAGTACTTTACAGGCTGCGCCATCTCTGCCTGGGACATCAGTGCTTTCAAAGCTCTTTAGGTAATTAATAGGAACAACCAAGACTGAGACCCATCACTTATTCTTCCCATCTATTGCACATGTCCATAACATGATCCTTCTCCAACCAGTGGGAGAAGAGAAGCAAAAATTCCAGAGTGGAGACACAGATCCTGCACCTTCTACAGTCTGGGAAGGGGCTGCACAGGTCACGTGTCAAGCTAAGACTTATTTCCAACTAGAACCAGTTATTCCCAGCACAACATTGTTTGAGACTCTACCAGGAGGAGACCTAGTTGTCGGACTGAGGGAGGGAGGTTCTGAATGCGGAGGATGTTGTAGCCAGAGCCTCTGGCCATCAGAACTAAAATGCCAAACAGTAAGGGGATGGAGACCTTTGCGGAAGTCTTCAGTACTTCTGTCTGTCTGAAGGAGCTGGACAGTTGCTGGAGGACGTGACTTCTGACCTATGCCTTTGAGAGGGGATAGAATTTTTGCTGGCACAGAAGAGCCTGAAGATAACTGGAGAAAGGTCAGGAGGCAGCCATGAATCTTTTCATCCAAACTTCACCATCCTTTGAGCTTCCAAAAGCTTAAAGGCTCTCAGCTATCATGAGGTATTACTGTTGGAGGTTTTTTTTCTGGGGGGGGGGGCTGCCCCCCAGCTCCCAAATAAATTACACATAGAGGCTTATACTTAATTATGAATGCCCAGCCTTAGCTTGGCTTAGTTTCTAGCCAGCTTTCCTTAACTTATTCTGTCTACCTTTTGCCTCTGGGCTTTTCCCATTCTCTTCTGTAAATCTTACTGGGTTGTTGGCCCCTGGAGTCCTCCTCCTTCTCTGGCTTCTAGATCTTAGATCTCTCCTCCCAGTTTTCTCCTTCTATACATTCTCTCTGCCTGCCAGCCCTGCCCATCCTTTCTCCTGCCTTGCCATTGGCCCGTTCAGTTCCTTATTAGACCATCAGGTGTTTTAGACAGGCACAGGAACACAGCTTCACAGAGTTAAATAAATGCAACATAAACAAAAGTAACACACCTTAAAATAATATTCTACTACAAGGCATCCCAAAGGGTTTTGGTTGTAGTGAAAGCAGAGGGATTTCTTTGGGGCTGGGGTTTCCCTGGAGAGGATAAAGGGGCTGCGTCTACAGCAGTGAGGACAGTCCAGGGCACCCGGGGAGCCTAGAAACTAGGTTGGCAGTGGGTGCTGAGCACCAATTAGCATCTGTCAGTTCCCTTTCCATGTGCTTACAGCCATCTGATAGTCACGACTCTCATCTAATAAATCAATCAACTACTATCAGCTTTGGGTTTAACCCTATCCCAAGAATATCCAGCGGCCAGATGCACACCCCATACCTGTGGGTACATAGAATTGTTTGGCATTTTGCCAGTGGGTGAGCAAACATTTTTTGGGATTGATAGGAGATGAGAAGGACGTGTTTAAGGAAAGTGATTTTAAACACGTTGCCACCTTCTTGAACACGAGAGGTGACAGAATCTGTCACTCAACTGCATGGTGCTTTCACATCAGGGTAATGCTATGCTGAAGGCAAATGGAAGAAGCCAATGAGAAACTTCTCTGTTCCTCCTCCTTGCCTAAAAGCAGATGAAGCTCAAGGAAATGTCTCTCTCCGTCCCTGCCTTCTCTTCAGAGCTAATCATGAGAGACAGTTTCACACGTTCAATGACATAAAAAAAACTTGCATAATTTATCTTCCTAACTGGCCCATATCTTCCATTAGCTTTCCATGTAAGCTGCTGCCAGCGTCATACAAGATAAAGTCAGTCAACACTCTGGGACGGAGAAGGAAGAGGTTCATGAGATCCCACCCCTAAATGAGGGGGTCCTGGAAGTTTACAGCTACCTTGGGAGGGCAAGTCAGATGTTGTCAGTGGTATGGCCCACGGTAGGTTGTCCATGCTCCAGTGGGTGGACCTTACACCCATGTGCATAGGGTAGCACTGATTTGCCCCAGTGGATGATAGGAGGAGGAGGAGGAGGAGGAGGAGGAGGAGGAGGAGGAGGAGGAGGAGGAGGAGGAGGAGGAGGGGGTGATGGAGCTGGGGCAGAGATGTAGGGGTGTGGGGGGAATCTATGAGGAATTAGAGGGATCAGGCAGCAGATATAATCTAAATACATAGTAGTCATACATGAAATTACTGAAGAATTAATTAAGAGTCAGTCTTTGAGGGGCCTGGTGGGGCAATCCCTTTGAGCTCCTCCGAGGGCTTCTGTGTATGACGCCCGGACGGGTTCACAAACCTGTTTGTGCTCCTCCTCCTACTCAGTCTTCAAGGGTAAAGTTACCAGACCTCGGCTAGACACTGCTATGCGCCGACAGAAAACGGGATCAGACTTCTCCGAACACAGCAGCGCTCGCTCCTGGGAGGCCGCTGCTTTGCCAGAGGCTCCCATCAAAAGCAGACCGGTCAAGCACGCCTAACCGCCCTGCTTGGGGTTCACAGACCCTCCCAGACCCACCAACCAGCACCACACTCCCGCTGTTTTCACAGTTTCCAGCTCTCTTCATTTTCAACCCTGTGATGCGCAGAGGACCGACATGGTCAATCCTTTTCTGGGAGTGGGAGCCTACAGCGCCCAGCGGGATCGCCCCGGTGATGGTCCTGGTGACCATCTGGTGACCATCTGGTTGCAGTGGCAGGCGGCCATTAGTTTGCTTTTGTCTGGAACCCAAGGGGCAGGGCACAGCTGCTGGAACAAGGCCTGGCATAGACACAGCCTGGCCAGGGCAGCTTGCAGGAGCGCACAGGGTGTGTGAGCGACGAGGTCGGCAGCCACACAGAGGGTCCGAGGAGCCAAGCTATTCCGTTTCCCCCCAGGAGGGAGAAGCGACTGCAAGGCCCACGCATCACAGTGGCGCCCTGGGCTTTACAGGAGGCACAGGCGCCACTTCTCCAGGGTTTGCCTCTCTTCCCCTCCTGTTTCTTTGTTGACTTTTGTCACAGGGCTGAGTTTGCCTCCTGTAAACCCAGCAGCGCCAACCATCACAGTTCTCTGTCTCTTTGTTCAAAAGACATTTCCAGGACGCTGGGTTCTCGTTTTCCTCTCTCCTGTTACTTCCAGATTCATCTGCCGTGAGCCGGGTGTGGTGCCACGTGCCTGTGTGACCCCAGCACTCGGGAGGCTGAGGCAAGAGGACCGTGACCCTGAGGTGCAAAGAGAAACTTCGGTTTTGTTTGTTTGTTTAAAATCACCTGGCATTTTTTTCTAGATCTGCTCCTTGCTCATTCAGGTGTGTTTGCCTGTCTCCTCCATATTTCCTCAGCTGTCTGAGTCTCCTACTGGCTGAAATGTCTGTCTTAGTTAGAGTTTCAGTTGCTGGGAAGAGACACCATGACCACGGCAACTCTCATAAAGGAAAACATTTAATTGGGGTGGCTTGCTTACAGTTTCAGAGGTTCAGTCCATTATCATCATGGCAGGGAGCATGGCAGCATGCAGGCAGATGTGGTGCTGGAGAAGGAGCTGAGCGTCCTATGTCTTGTGCAGGCCACAGGGAGTGGTCTGCAACACTGGCCATGGCTTGAGTATATATGAGACCTCAAAGCCCGCCTCCACAGTGACACACTTCCTCCAACAAGGCCACACCCACTCCAACAAACCCACCCCTCATAATAGTGCCACTCCCTTTGGGGACCATTTTCTTTCAAACCACCACATTCCACTCCCTGGCCCCCAAAGGCTTGAAGCCATATCATAATGGAAAGGTGCATTCAGTCTAACTTCAAAAGTCCCCATAGTCTATAAAAGTCCCGAACATATTTAAAAGTCTAGAGTTCAAATTATCTTCTGAGATTCATGCAATCTCTTAACTGTAATCACCTGTGAAATCAAAAATCAAAAAGATCACATACTTCTAACATATAATGGCCCAGGATATACATTACCATTCCAAAACGTAGGGAAGGAAATACTGGACCAAAGCAAGACCAGAAACCAGTTGGGCAAACTCCAAACTCGGCATCCCCATGTCTGATGTCAAAATGCTCTTCAGATCTCCAACTCCTTTCAGCTTTGTTGACTGCAATACACTTCTTTCTCTTGTGCTGGTTTCACTCCCTGTTAGCAGCTCTCCTCAGCAGGTATCCCATGGCTCTGGCATCTTCAACATCTTGGGGTCTTCAGCTTCAGGTCTTCATGCAATGGCCTCCCTAGGCCTCCATTCAGGGACACTTCTGTCACATGCCTGGCCTCAGTGGCTTTCCTTAGTTGCAGAGGCAAATTCCTTAACTCCAGAACCACGTGGCCAAAGTTGCCAAGTTCTGCTGTTTACTGGGGCTGGAACGTGGTCCCCTCATTCAATTACGTCTTCACCAACTTCCTATTTTCAATGAATTCCTTCACTGCCTAAGCTTGGCTGTCCTGGATCTCGCTCTGTAGACCAGGCTGGCCTCAAACTCAGAGATCTACCTGCCTCTGCCTCTGAAGCACTGGAATTAAAGGTGTGCGCCACCACAGCCTGGCTGTAAGCTTTTCTTTAACTCCTTTTCACAAGATGGAAACTTAGCTGGGGTGGGATCTTGCCCTGAGGTCAGCACTCCCTTTATTCCATTTCTTTATCTGTTTCTCTCCTTGAACACAGAATTTGGCTCCATTCCACTTCCTGGTGCTCCTTTTCTCCTCAAACTTTACATTTTGTAATTTACCCTGCTCAGCTTGCTTCTTTTCATTACAAATCTTCACTGGAGTTATCACTAATAACTCTATATATAACTAATAACAAAACCAGGCTGTTTTGAGATTTCCACTGCCAATAGAATTAATGCAATCTCTTCTCTTTAGCCTCAGGCAGACTCTTCAGACAAGGACAAAACCCAGCCACTTTCTTCACCAAAATATCACAAGAATGATCTCTAGGCCACACATTAATATTCTTCTCCTCGGCAACCTCCTGAGCCAGCTGTAAGGATTCGGTCCTTAATTATGTCGACGGCGGCCCAGCCTAAAAAGCGGATGGGCCCTCTGTGCGCTCTCTTGTCTCCTCTCCTTTCCGCTCCTTCCTCCCATCGCCCCTCTTCTCCCCCCCCCAGAAAAAGCTCTAAAAAGGTAACCATGGCTGTGATTCTGTCAATCAGCATGCTCCTCCGTCTGCATGGCAACCAGCCACGAGGAGCAGCGCCGTAGAATAAACAACACCAGCCCCCCACAGTTCAAATCACGCTCAGCCCCACTGCCTTCCATGCTCCTACTAGGATGGCCCATTAAGCAGCACTTAAAGCATTCAAATGCTTTTCTAATCCAGAGTCCTAAGGTCCATATTCCTTCAAATAAAAACATGGTCTGGCCTATCACAGCAATACCCAGTCCCTGGTGCCAACTTCTATCTTAAGATTTCTATTGCTGTGAAGAGACATCATGACCACAGCAACTCTTATAAAGGAAAACACTTAATGGGGTGGCAGCTTACAGCTTCAGAGGTTTAGTCCATTATCATGGTGGGACATGGCGGCATGCGGGTAGACATGGTGCTGGAGAAGGAGCTGAGAGTGGAGAAGGAGCTACATCTTGATTCCATAGGCAACAGGAAGTGGTCTGAGACAGTGAGTGGGGCTTGAACATATATGAGACCAAAAAGCCCGCCCCACTTCCTCTGACAAAGCCACACCCACTCCAACAAGGCCACACCTCCTAATAACACCACTCCCTTTGGGGGCCATTTTCTTTCAAACCACCAATGTCCCTTTCAGGTCCTGTTGAGGGTCACCAGTCACTAGTCATTGATGGCTGTGTGAGCTGAACACCGTCCCCAAGTCCCTCACTCTAAAAAAGACAGAAACTGAATGTAGTCCAGTACAGTATTCAGGGAAGGAAACAAATCTTGGACCATGGGAGAGGATGTCCCCTGGACCCTCTACCATAGTGGTTCTCTAAGGGCGGCTCCGAGCCACGTGGCAAATTTTAGAGAGGTCCTGTGTAGGAGAAGGGGCAGGTGGAGCAGCGGCTCTCACATGGTGGCCTGAATGAAGCTGATTACAAAGACAAACCCCACGTCCAACTCTGTTCCCGTGACGAACTTGGTATCTGCACAGGCTGAACGGCGGAAGAGGCCCACGGGGGCACACACCGTGAGTACCCACACTGAGCATGCATGCACACCTCGTGCTTCATTCCTGCTCTGCCCTCCACATCACCCCTTCCCCAGAGCAGGGCAAGCCAGGCCTGGCCCGCTGAGGAGGTACCCAGCACAGGGCCAGGAGCCTGCTCTTGGGACCAACCGATTGGGTTTGAACCCGATCTCAGCATTTTGTGAACTTGCGCCTTTTTCCTCAGCTGTGAACTAGGGCTAACAACTCCCCACCCACCTCAGGAGCACATCTGAAGCACAGCCCATGTCAGTGGCAGGCATCCCATTGCTGCCAAAACCTTTCATTTGCAAAGAAAAAGGGGAGAACAGAACAATCACACCGGGAGAGAAAGGAAGAAATGATTCCAGAACAGCAGCCTAAAGGCTCTCGGGTGGCCACTCAGGAGGGCCCCACCTGTCCTTCCTCCATCAGGAAGCATTTCCATGCATCTTGAGAGTAAAAATGAGGCACTCTCCTCTCCAGGTCTCAGACACAGGGATAATTCAAACAGATGGTGTGGCCAAGGCCCCAAACCCCCATCCTGGACCTCGAGAACTGCCTGGCTTACGTGGGATTTTGTCAGAGCACAAATCCAGGGATGTTTGCTGTCAAGGGGCAGGCAAAGAAGGTGCCTACTAGCTTCGTGCTCTGCTTATAAAGACATAAGAAGAAGGGCCACTATGAAATGAGATCGTCTGTAGCCGAGTCCGTATGTTGGAAGACGGTGGAGTCTGAAGTTCGCTGAGCACATAGGCATGAGAGATGCTGTCCTTGCGGGGCAAGAAGGTCTGGCCAGAAGGAAGGAGACGCTTGATGCCCGGCTGTCACGCTGGCTTCACGAAGGAGGAAGTCTCACCAGTGGAAGGAAGCCAACTCTTCCCGTTCCTCTCCAGCCCACACTGGCTGCTTCACATCCAAACCAGCCAGCCAAGCCATCGTGGGAACTAGGTCAGAGCCAAGCACCAGATGAGATGGCTGACAGACATCTTCCCGAAACCCTGTCTCCTCTAACCAGTCAAGGCTCAGGCCACCACACCAACCCTCTCCATCATGTGCAGCATATTCGTGAAGCTCAGAGAGGTGCTGTGCCTACTCAGATGGTAGCTAAGCTCTGTACAGCTGTCAGGAGACATGTGGTATCGGGGGGAGGGGATCATCTTTTTCCTGTTCTTAATAGATGGCATTTTATGATATGACCTTGTTTATTTATTTGTGGTTTTTGTTTTGTTTTGTTTTGTTTTGTTGGGTATTTTTGGGTTTTGGGGTGTTTTGTTTTTTGGTGTTTATTTTTTTTTTTTTTTTTTTTTTTTGAGATGGCGTCTCACTCTGTAGTCCTGGTCTGATTAACACCGTGTGGGAAGAAGACCCAACGCCTGGCAATCTCCTACCTCAGCCACCTCGGAGCTTGGATTGCAGGCAGATCCCACAACCCCAGATAGTAGAGCCTTAAAATTGTGCTTTGAGGGAGAGATGGCTCGGTGGTTAGAGCACCAGCTGCTCTTTCAGAGGACCAGGGTTCAATTCCCAGCTCCCATCTGTAACTCCAGTCCCAGAGGAGCCGACACTTTTTTCCAGTCTCCTTGGCACTGCATTCACACGGCACACAGACATACATGCAGGCAAAACACCCATCCACATAAAAGTAATTTTTTTAAATGTGTTTTAACCAATTTTGTAGTAAGTGATAAATACAAAACCTCAGAGCAATAGAAAAATCAAATTAACTTCCTATCCTGCCATGCAATGAGACTGAATTATTTCTTCTTAGCTTTATTGTTTAATTTTTTAAAGTAAATCTATAGTCAGTGTTTACAAAGTCAGCTATTTTCTCACTTGACATTTTATACTGACTTTCTATGTTTTCACAACACACAAGTATTATTCTTAATAACGTCATGTTTGATTAAACAATATTTCTATTTAATGGTTAATTTGTTCTGTTTTTCTAAAAATTAGTGTGTGTGTGTGTGTGTGTGTGTGTTCATGTGTGTGCAGAAGCTTGTGAAAAGGAGGTATCAGATACACTGGAGTCACAATCAGTTGTGAGCTATGCTGTGGGTGCTGGGAACTGAACCCAGGTCCTCTGGAAGGGCAGCCAGTGCTCTTAATCACCAAGCCATCTCTCCAGCCCATATCTTTGTGTTGATTTATTTCTCCAGGAAACAGTCTCAAACGTGTCACCAGGCCAAAGGATGTGGTGTTGCATGGCTCGTCACACTCTGCCATGCTGTTTTCCAGAGATATTTGTGATAATTTATGTCAGCATGGGAATATGGCTTTCTCAAAAGCCTTACCAGACTTGATTTTTATATGTAAGATCTTCACCAGTTTAACTGGAATTTCATAACTTTGGGGAAGTTTGCTCTTGTTGCCGTCATGGAGGCTGAGTCTTTCCCCGAGGGTCTGTGTTTATACGCTGTAGTATGACTGAGGACATAGTTCCTTGACCATTGATACAGTAGACGGATCCCGCCCTGTGGGTCTGAGTCTGTCCCCTTGGTCTTCTAGGTGTTAATTATTTTTTCATCCATTCTATTTATCACCAACATTCCTCCCCTAAGTCTCTTTGACTAGAGAAGGTTTTGCTCAGTGAACACAGCTCCGACTCGGGTGAAGACCATCAATCCAGGCCCAGCTCCGGGTGCTCTGTTTTCTGCTGGCTGCACAGTCTAATATTCTCATAAATTTTCCTGTACACTGCCTGATTCTTAGGCTCCCGAGCTCTCTGATGAACTGTATTCCCAATTTGTCAGATTTACCCGGCAATTACTCAGTGTTGTGCCATGTGCCATTAAAAAAATGAGGATTATGTGTTTGCTTGCATTTCTGTTCATTTCTGGCTTCTGCCACGGCTTTTGGTTGAGGGAACATTTCAACCCTATCAGCTGGAAGCACCTCACAGCTGCTGGAAGACACAGAGGTGATGATATCCACAGCAGAGGATGGGAGCAGGGGGGGGGGGGGCACAAAACAACAAAAACTTGCAGGCAAGTTGAATCTAAAATTTAAACAAAATAAATATTTGAAACGTTACAGAATCGACCTAAGGTCAACTTAATTAGCTAAAGAATATGCAGGACCTAGACTTTTGCAGGCCTCGGTCCAAATGAAGAAACAGCAGCTCCAGTGAGAGCAGATTAGGAACGGTCAGCATCACATGGAGCACACCACGAAAAGTGACCCCAAAGAGTCAGGCTCTAGGCCTGCAATTCCAGCACCAGGGAGGTTGAAATAGAAATAGCATGAATTCAAGGCCATCCTCGGCTACCTAGCAGGTTTGAGGCTAGACTACATTCCATGTCTCAAAAACAACCAGCCCAAAGATCCACACCTTAAAAAAAAGTATCACAAAAAGAAAAAGAGTTACTAATTCAAGTTATTTACATTTATTCAGTGTGTGTGTGTGTGTGTGTGTGTGTGTGTGTGTGTGTGTGTGTGTGCAATAAGAGGACACATGACTGGAATCACCTCTCCCTTTCCACCAGCTGGATCCAGGCTCGGTGGCGAGCACTAAACCATCCTCTGACTGTTATTATTTCTCTGCTCCCCACCACACCCTCACCATGAGAAGGGTTCCCAGTTGGGGAAGAAGGCATCCTGGCACGCTTCCTTCCTTTCTCATTTCCTGTTCACTCGCCAGCTAAAGGGCTAAGCCACTCACTCACCCACCACGTGCACAGTTCCTATCCATCAATGCGGTCTGGGGAACGGCTACAGCCACAAGCGGAAGTCCAGTCTCACAGCCGCATATCCATAGCGAGAAGGCGACTTTGTCCAGGGTGATAGACACAACTCCATTTCAGTTCCAAATCATAGATTCCCAATAACGGTTACTGTGGTCACTACAGTTTGCAGTTATTGACGGCTTAGATTATGCCGAGACCCACCAACACTACTGGCCCATTTTACAGATGTGGCAAAATGAAGTTACAAACTTGGCCAAGATCACTAACCTAGCAATAGCAGAATTGAAGATTTAACACTGCACACTGCCTCGTATCCGTGAATATTTTAATTATTTGCAGAAATTGCAATTCTTTTCTGTGGCTGTGCAATTTTTAACTATAATACATTTAAAAGAAACTTTAATTCCAGTCCAGCTAGATATTCGCCAACTCACCGCAGCGTCAAAGCAAACGGGTGCAGACAGATTGCACCAAGACTCTGCTCTGCTCTGTGCTGATTGTTACACATATTAGCGGTTTTTATTTGTTTTTCTCAACACTGCTAAGATACTTGACGTCACAGCCAGTGAGGTGGAGGTAGGGTTGTGCTAAGGAGAACTGGTAAGCGGGAACGCCAACCTGGTACCTCACAGGCAAGAAGGAATCAGTGAAGGACGGGGTTCTGAAGATCCTCTCCCGCTTTAGGTGTCTAGCCATTGATGAAGTTGGAAGCTTTGTAGGTGCCGGAGATGTGGGTGCAGCGCCCCCTGCTGGCAGTCTCGCTGTACTTCTCTTCAGGGAGGTCCTGGTCATACCGACACCAGCCAGCAGGTGGTGCTCATAAGTCCCGAGGAAAGGCCCCAAGCTCGCCCTAACCGGCTTCTGAAGTGCATATCGCCAAATTGAGGGGGTAGACAGGGTGGGGGTGGAAGCTGGCTAGGATTCAGAGACAAAGATTTTTGTTGTTGTTGTTTTGTTTTCGAGACAGGGTTTCTCTGTGTAGCTTTGCGCCTTTCCTAGAACTCACTCTGTAGTCCAGACTGGCCTCGAACTCACAGAGATCCGCCTGCCTCTGCCTCCAGAGTGCTGCCCGGCTGACACAAAGATTTTTAAAGAGGCCCAAGGGATTACAGAGCAATTTAGAAAAGTGTCAGAGGACAAGGTAAGAGTCAAAAACAGGTAAAGACATTTGCCTTAGCTTTGTTGATAAAGAAAAGCCACAATGATTATATATATATCACATTAATATGATATATATATATATATTTATATATATATATATATTTAGTATCTCTCTCTCTCTCTCTCTCTCTCTCTCTCTCTCTCTCTCTCTCTCTCTCTCTCTCTCTCCACTTCCTCCTCCCTTCCCCACTACACCCCTCACATTTTTGATACAGGGTCCTCTGAAGTCCAGGCTGACCTTGAGCTTGCCATGTACTTGGTGATTACTTAAATTTCCAATCCTCCTGTCCCTGCCTTCCAAGCTGTGGGATGACTAGTGCTCCCCATCATGCCCAGTTTTATGTGGTACTGGGAAAGGAGCCCAGGGACTCATACATGCTAGGCAAGCACACTCACCTGAGCCGTGTCCTGGGCTCATCGTAAGACAACCTCTGAAAGTGAGGAAAACAAGTGCATTCTCCTCTAAGCTGTGTGCATTTGCTCAAAATACAGGGGCAGTCCAGGTGTGGTCAGCCTCAACATCTGTCAGCTAAACCTTTGCCTGCTGAAGAAGCCCCAGGCACTTCTCTCGGCGAACTAGACTTGCCCCTCAGATGTCTCTAATCTCCATCCTTAGAACCTTTGCTGGTGTCTGAGATGGACCTTCCAACTTAGACTCAAAGAAACACACACAGAGTTTTAGAAATAGTTTTTAAAAATAAAAACCTGCGCTTTAGACCTGCAGCATATATTGAAGCAGGAACTGGGGCCAGTAGCCATCTTGGTTCACTTGCCCCCTCCCCCTCCCCCACCCACCCCTCCCTCCTCGATCCCTGCACCCCATTTGGGGGTAAAGTCATTCTGTCAGTGCCAAGTACCTCACTGTGTCACTTGCTTTCCACAGAAACACAGAAGTATAAAAAACAAAAAATCCCTGAGCAGGTGACGGGTGGGTGTTCTGTGGGGAAAAGAGAACAGGCCAGAGGATGGGTTACAGGAATCCTGGGATTGGGGGTCTTTCTCCCACCATCCCATCTGGGCTAAATAAAGGTGACTCTGTGTAGTTTCCAGAGCCTGGGCCTGAGAAGGCTTTAGTTTAAGCCTCTACCTTGACCTGATTGTAACAAAACAAAGCCAGTGTGGACCGCTGGAGAAAGAGAAGTTGTGAGAAAGTCAGATGCGCAATCCTGTCCCCAACAGGCAATAGCACTCGGCTCCAAGCCTTGGGAAGGACGGTGGCTGCATGGGAAGCCGTCAGTCAGCCCATCAAATCACAAGGAACGGGGTCTCCATGGGTTGAAGCCGCTGTGTTTGGGGTGCTAGGCAGCCACAGAGAGCGGAAACACAGCTTTGCATTTTCCTCTATTGCTTCAGGGACTGCGGTGTTAGAACAGGATTCAGACTCCACTTCTAGGAAGGCACCGACATCACAGCTCTCAAATACCCACAGGGATGTGAAACAAGATTCACAAAGGATAGAACTCACCCATCTCTCTTGGATGCCTCGTCCAGATCAAGGATGTGGAAAGGGTCAGAGAGATAGGAGGCAGTCATGTGAAGAGCCATCATTGTACCCCTTCTCCTCCTCACAAGGGAAGATGGGCAAAGGTTGTGTGTCCTTCATCTCAGCCTGTGCAGAGAGCTTATATCACCCCTTGGAGAGCTTTAAAATAGTTTCAGCAAAGTAGAGGAACAGCAAACAACAGACCCCAGAGGCATTCCTGAGACACCAGAGTGACAGCCGCATAGAGGTTGAAGACATCAATCTCATCGGCCTGTTTTCTGGGGTTTCTAGAGTTGTGTGTGCTCTGTGAACCAAACATGGCCACTCAGAAGAGAGAGCTGGTGAGCAGCCAGACTGGGCCTGTGGTAGTCTGAATTGTAATTGGTTCCCATAGGCTCATAGGGAGCGGCACTATTAGGAGGTGTGGCCTTGTTGGAGTAGGTGTGGCCTTGTTGGAGGAAGTGTGTCACCCCGGGGCGGGCTTTGAGGTTTCAGATGCTCAAGCTAGGCCCAGTGTGTTGTTCTCTCTTCCTGCTGCCTGCTGATCTGTATATAGGGACCTCTCAGCTACCTCGCCAGCACGATGTCTGCCGGTGTCCCGCCATGCTTCCTACCATGATGACAACGGACTAAACTTCTGAACAGTAAGCCAGCCCCAATTAAATGATTTCCTTTATCATAAGAGCTGCCGTGATCATGGTGTCTCTTCACAACAATAAAACCCTAAGACAATCACTTCACAAGTTGGTATTTCCTCAAAATGAGTTGAAAAGTCACAGGCCTGCTGTGTTTCTGTATCAAGCTTAAGGGCAATGGGCAGGTTAGGTGTGCCGCTCAGTGGTCGAGGGAGTTGATCTCAGAGCGAGGCATCAGTAAAGGGCAGTTGTGTTTGCTGAGCAAGTTGGTCACTTTGTGTTGCCTGCTCGCCATTTCTCCTGGGTCTGCTTTGTAAAGACACAAGTGGTTTGTGCGGCCTCCCTCCTCCCACAGTTACTCTGCTCCTCTTAGCTTCTACATCCTCCGGCTCACACGAAGAAACTCGGCTTGTCACCGTCTCATGACCCAGGTATAAAAAAGCCCCTCATGCATGCAGTCGATGAACCCACAGACTTCCCAAAGTCCCCAAGGCTGTGGGAAGAGGTCTGCGCAGGCGTCTCTTGGCTCAAGGCCAGGCTCTCTGGTCAGAAACACAGACTCCTTGCTGGCTCTCTGCCTAACGGCTTTCAAAGGCTGAAATCTTGTGAGTATTTGGGGCCTCATATACCAAGGAGCTGAAGACTAAGAGAGGACATCGTGTGGGTGCTGGGAACCGAACCCCTTCAGGAAAAACAAGCACTCTTAACTAAGTCATCCCTCCTCTTAGGTAAAAACAGGAATCAGAACAACAGCTTGTTCACAGGTTGGAGAGGCAGTTAAATGAGATGTCTCCTGAAGTAGTTCACATTATAAGTGGCCGTATTAAGTGTTCAGATAGATGCCACCTCTTGTTACTGTACCAGCCCACATAAGGCGTCTGATAATTGTGACCATGACCTGCAGATAACCAGAGCAGCCAGCTGTCCATTGAGCTGCCCTCAGCATCCTGGCTTCTTTCTCTTCAAACACATTTCTCACCCACCACCATGAGACTTCACTGCTCATCAGCACCAGAATGAAAGGAGAGACACTGAGGGCCAAGGCTTGGGGTCGTTGGGAAGCCAAGCCAAGCCGAGAAAAGCCCCAGTGGAGAGGCTGCAGGTTAGGAAGGGAGAGGGAGCTGATCTTTCGAAACCACAATTGAGGTAGCTTAAAAAAAAAAAAAAAGTTCAATATACCGTGAAAAACAGGAAGATTATCCCTGGGAAGAAAATGAATTACTTGGAGCCGGGCGTTGGTGGCGCACGCCTTTAATCCCAGCACTTGGGAGGCAGAGTCAGGCGGATCTCTGTGAGTTCGAGGCCAGCCTGGGCTACCAAGTGAGCTCCAGGAAAGGCGCAAAGCTACACAGAGAAACCCTGTCTCGAAAAACCAAAAAAAAAAAAAAAAAAAAAAAAAAAAAAAAAAAAAAAAAAAAAAGAAAATGAATTACTTGGGGATTTGAGGGAAGCTTTTGTGCATGTTGCTGTGTGAAGGAGTATCCTGGTAGACTACCAGAGGTTTTAGGGTTGGGAGGAATTTAATCTGTTTCTTGAGCCCATGTTAACCTTAAAAAAATGATTTTGATTTTTAGAATTTTGGATGAGAACCAAAGCCTATTCAGAGGCAGGGGAGGAAGAGATGAAAAGGGCCTGCCCCCATCCAGAACAAAGAGAGAATGCATCTGCAACGGAAGAATTGCACATGCTCAGTGCAAAGGTTAATTTGACTCTGCAATGGGCGAGCATGGGGACACAAGAAAAACCTTCACAATTTCCCCTCCTTTTTTATTTGTATTAGTTGAATGAGGACATTAAATTCAGCTGTGTTTATTTCTACTTATCCCAGCCAAGAAAGCCAAGATTTTAAATTCAAGTTATTTTGTTTTTATTTATTTATTTTTGAAACAAGATCTCACTCTATAGTCCTGGCTAGCCTAGAACACACTATATAGACCAGGGTGGCTTTCAACTCTCAGAGATCCACCTGGCTCTGCCTTCCAAGTGCTAGGAATATAGGCATGCGCCACCTTACCCCACCTAAGTTCAAGCATGTACAGGCAATACAATTCATTTCACTTTGTGTGTGTATTGTTGTTGTTGTTGTTTAGGGTGTAAGATAGTGGACAATTTTCAGATTAGGGATGTTCTGCCTACATTAAGAATCCCTACCCAGCTGGGCGGTGGTGGCGCACGCCTTTAATCCCAGCACTCGGGAGGCAGAGCCAGGCG